TGAAAATCGGCCCCCCCTGGATTCATGGATGGCCATTTTCCGTATACCAAACTGGTGGTGAACTCCACTTCCATGTCGGTGTCTTTCGGTGTAAATAAATCCATACAAGTATCAATATCAATCCATATCAATCCTATTCCTGTTTTTTTGCCAGCTCTTGCGGCACTTGCAGCTCCAGAGATTTCAGACTAGGGTGACAGGGCATCCCGGACACTCCAAGTACAAAGTGGGAAGCATATAGATCACAGTAGAGCAACATCCAAGCTGTTTGAGAAAGCATGTGTGTGCTCCAAGATATTCTGAGTGCCGTACAAGCACTGTCCTCCATCAGATTGTCCCGCTATGTGTGCAAAAAAAAAATCTTTCAGAGACATGAGTCAACAACAGAAACTGAACCTTGAGTCAACAGTCAACATAACCTGTTAACTGTTTGCAAACATTCAAAAGAACTCAATTTCTGCAACGGTAATCCGAACGTCGGCGAGCTCGGGAACTCCCTGGAGCTCTCAACTGTGCCGGGGAAGAACTGCAGAACCTGTGTTCGACCCTGGCGCCGTCGCTCCCGAAGAAGTCCCCCGTAGTTGATCAGAATCCGTCCCGTCGCTCCGTCCAGGTGCCCAAAAAACCATCATGAGATCAATTCCACCCAAGAAATGCGCAACCATTTTGGCGCCGAGTCTTGATGCACCAGGGCGCCCATCTGCGATGCATATGTTGTTCGCAATTGTTGGAAGCCCAGTGAATGAAAAGGGCGGAAGTTCTGGGACGCTTTTGGGGGGGAGAAGCCAACATCAGGCAACTCTTCACAGGATCCCTTCTCAAACCTGGCCCAATGAGCTTGGTGACGTTTGCGAGAGCTTTGATATTGAACATCTCTACTATGTGAGTCAAGGGTGTTAAAGTTCTCCGACCCCAAAACCCGAGAGCAAAAGCTTCTGCCTTCACACCGGTCCTAGGATAGCTTTTGGACTGAATTTGGTGAGAGGCAACCAAGCAAGCTCCAACAGCAGAGTGTGCACTTCCACAATTAAACGATCAACGCCAAAGACATGGACCCAATAAACTCACCTTATGAAGAGATGTTCCAAGTTCCTCTGTCCAAACCCAAACACTCCATTGGACTGCTGTGTTCGCTGATCAGTTGGGGTGGCTTCAGGGGTGCATGTAGGTAAATATGCCATACATGGAGTAACGGGGCTATGCTAAGGAACCATTCATGTACCATCCATGTCTCTTTACAACCAGAAGGTCCATACTACATGGAATCATTTGGATTTCCACACCCTCATGTCACCTCCTCCCGCCTCCTCCTCCTCTTCCTCTGACTCGGCAAAAATGCGTTTCCGGAGAGCCTGCCGAGCATTGCCGAGCTATATCACATGATACAATACAATATGATATCTATGATATCATAACACATAATAATGGCATAATAACAAGCTTTGCGACCTACTCCAGACTATTGCAGTTTGGATGTACAGTAGTCCACATCATGGTGCAACCCGCCCAAGATCCTCTTCTACATTCTAAGGATGTCTAATGTGTTTCTCTCCTCAAAAACCATTGCGAAGTGGATCTTCACCCACCGCTTCGCCCGTTGGCCTCAAAAAGCTCCGCATCCCCGCATTCCCCTGCGTCGCGACGCGAAACCCATGGGTTTTTCTCAGCGATTTCCAGATCCAGGTGGTTTCTCACCGAGCTGGCACAGGTTTTCACATCGGGGACATCAACCAGTGAGCTGCTTGGAGATTCGTTCAGACAGTCCTCACAAGGCTCCTGGCCCACACCCTCAGAAGACACCGAAACCCGCCAAATCCACCTTAACGATTTTATTAGGAGCTGGTTGAAAACCCTAGAATGTGCACATCATTCCAAACTGGTTTCGAGATGTTTTACATCCTCTTGCGGTCTCCCTCAGTAGGCGGCGATTTCCAGTGCGCCAAAGTTGAGTCAACTGACATGGTTCCCTGGTTGTGCCGAAATATGTTTGGTCATGGATTCTCAATGATGCTCCAAAAGGTAACAAACAAACGTTTTTCCACTAGGGTAGGGCGACTGTAAAGTACACTGAACAGAAGTCCGAATAGGATAGAATCCAATTGGAGCATGGAGTGGTGGATGTCCAGCAGAACAATCTTTGTTTCGCCCCGAGGTGCCTCTTTCATCCAGGTCGGACGCTTCTCTTGTAGGAGATGTTTCACTGTTCATCCTCCTCTACAGAACCGGCTTCTGGGAACAAGAGGCTCACTAAACCATGTCCACTTATATATTCTCACTTCACCAGGAGAGTTTCCAGACCCAAACATTCGAAGATATACCGCCCTAATGACCCGTCGACCACCGGAGACCCCGAGGGGTCTCTGCGGTACCTGGCGAATCCGCAGCCATGCCCGCGGCTGCCCGGCTGCTGCCCAGCTTGCGCTTTCGGCAGGCACCGTGGCACCAGGAAATTCCCAAAATGGAATGTGGCACGGGTCAAAACCCAGGAAAGGTGGATGTTGTGGTGCGTTGCCCCACTTAGGGCTGGGACCTAAGACATTCTGCTTAGGATTCTATTGAGGATCTCAAAAACCTTTCCAACTCAAACTGAGCCTTCTGTTTCACAAGCTATATAGACTATGGAGTGATATATGATGATTCACTGCACATCTGTGCACAAGGATTCAGCTTATGCATCATTCTCCCATGGGTGTCCGTCCTGTCACGTCAGTCGAGATGAGCTTAAGCAGCTACAGTGACTGACAGGAACCGGAAAAGGCTCACAGACAGTGACATGAAACCTGCAGAGTAGCTAGTTTCAGAGTAGATGAAACACCTGCATGTTGTAGGAGTTGATGGAGTAGTCACGCCGGAGTGACCTTTGGGCCACTTTGAATCGCTGTAGAGTGCATGAAATCGACATACGTCTGCTTTTGGCATGTATACAGACATGTGGGGGGACCTTTACATTATACATATTATAACCACCTCCTTTCCACATAAAGTACGGGAAGAAAAACTAGGTTTCACAAGAGTTGATCCGTCCATGTTGTTTTATGTTCCTTAAGTTTAAGGGTGACCATATACCCCACGCAATCCGACTTTGCTCAGTGGAACTTTGTAGGGCAAAGCGAATGGAGCAAGCAGTTACTATCCCAGACATGGCCAATGGGACTGGAATATGTACTTGTATAATATATTATATTGGTGAACGATGGTCAACATTTGTTGTGGGGTTGCAGGTCATCAGGATTTGGATTGATTTGGTGAGTGTATTATCGTGTTTCACGTCCGTCGCGTTACGATATCGGTTTTGGTGAGTGTGTTATCGTTCTTCAAGCAATATGTGCCTTTTGAAACCCTATGGCCACTCACTGACTATTCATCACTTTCGCTAATTTCAGATAATCAATGATAATCATATTATACCATTCCTACATTGAGGTGGTTGACCCGGTCTTTCAAGGATTGGCATCTCTTCCAGTCCCATTTCCCTCTCGGCTGTTGAGTGCATCTTTTTCTTCCGACAAGGCCCGACTGACCAGACTTCGTTGGAAACGTTCAGCTGGAAAGTATTCCTCCAGAAAGTCGCTGACCTCGAGACGGCGAAGTAGGCTCCGGACGACAGAAGGTGAAGACACCTGACGATCCATGTAATGAAGAAAAATGACCATATACCTGGATCTTCCAACTGTGCAGAATTTCTGCCTTTTCATCAATTCAACCAGCCAAGTTAGGCATAAATGTTGCACGGTTGGAAGATCTAGGTATGACCTACATTCACCGGCAAAAACCGTAGGCCATATTTGCTTAGATCAGGGGAACCTGACTACCGCTATCTGATGGCAAGACAAGAGATCAATTCTAGACCATCCATGGGATTGGAATAGTTACGGCGGATGGGTCATCATTGGGGTACATGTATGCAACTTATTCCAGTCCCATGGATGGTCTGGGAATCAAAACAAAAAACAACACCAGGTCATACTCGGCCTTGTTTAACTGACGTCCACCTTCATGAAGCGGCTCTCTTTCTCCGGACGCAGGGACACATCTTTGAAGCTGTGAAGAGGTGTGGAAGGTCCCTCCCAATCTTTGAATGGGCAATAGGAGCTGCCATGATCACCACGACCCACCTATGTAGTTTCGGGCCCAAAGGCACCCATTCCACCTGATCCGAAGAAAGTTGGTCCGAAGGTGAAAGTCTGGCGTGTCCCGATCGTGTCCCATGAATCTTTCGTCTCCCATTTGTCTCCGACTGACTGGTGTGGTTCGGGAATGAGGGTGGCTGGATCCTAAGGTAATTTGTAGACTCGACCCGCCGGGTCAATCCCTTCTTCATCCTTCTTCTTTACTTCATCGCACCAGTCACGAGTCACTCACCGGAACCCCGGCGGAACATCGGTTCCCTCCCGCTCCCTGCTCCTTCCTCCCCCCTCCCGTTCCCTCCCTGCTCCTTCGCCCCGGACGTTCTCGGGGCCCAGAAGTCGAGCCAGGCGATCGAGGAGGAAGTTCCGCAGCTCCCGGAAGGTCTGGCAACGGAGGCCACGGTCTGTGGGAGACCAGCACCATGTGGCATAGATCAGCAGCATGTGGTAATGCAGACTGTTGATTAATAAACCCTCCCATTGGAATTGGACATGCTCTTCATATTATGGGGGGGTTATTAATCAAGAGTCTATATTATGATAGTTGTGGTATGTGTGGGGTGGGGTTCTGTTCCTTCCTTTGGTCCGTGGAGGATGACATGCTGTTGTGAAAAAACATAGGATGAATGCTGAATGCGGATGAATGATAGACTTATGGAAGTGGAAAACCACCTACATGTTGACTCATGTTGGTATTCGGAAAATGGGAATCCAAAGGCCGTGCATCCACTTCCATGATAATTTCAGGGAGTGTACATTCTCCAACTCCCAGCATCTCCACTTGAGCGGTCCAGTGGTCGACCCTCCATCCACCGTCGCTCAGGCTGGAGCTTTTCGAGAACTTTTTGGGGTCACAAAACCCGGTGGACGGTCTCAGGATGAGCTGCTGGAGGATGAAGAGGACGAGGAGCCGGACCCGTTCTTGGTCTTTTTCAGCTGCCTAAGTGGTCTGACAAGTCTGGCGGGCCACATTGAGATACATTTGGACACTTGGAGCCTGGGTACAGTAGCGAAGAGGGACACATCTTGACAACAATTGTAGAGTTCTAGAGATGTGCAAACCTCAGCCACAACTGACCCTTTTGCTTATTGCTTGCTGCAACAATGGCAAAAATGGTGGACGTGGTGCTCAAACAATTCCAACACTGCAAGCTAGGATGGAGTTCTACTACTCTGGCCCACGCCATCTCTCCTCCTCACCAAACGATCGGCCCAGACCACTCGGCTCCAGCTCCCAGCCCAGACCACTCGACCGATGGAGTCTCCAGCCGCACCGGTGACTGACCAAATCTCTGGTTGACCGATGCGAATCAAGGTGCTTCTCGGACTTCTTCAATGCCTTCTCCGCTTTAGCAACTTTGGCTTGAAGCTTCTGCATCTTCCTGATCTTTTTGAACCTCCTGGGACGAACGTTCATGATCACCCACCCAAGGGGGGACCACGGGGAACCCACGTGGGATTCTGTGGGGATTGTTGCTGCTCCATGAGTTGGAACACACGCGCGAACCGCTTTTTTTGGAGGGTGTTTAGATGGCAAACAAATGGTGTAAGGTAGGGAAGTCTACGCACCAGCCATTGGGAGATTCTGATGTGAACTGAGGCAGCACTTCAAATGTTGGCCAAAAAAAGATGTCACTGCTATATAGTAAGAAGTTGGAAAGCGTCTAAAGAAACTCCAAGGCTCTTCTTTTCCTCCTTGCTCATATTTTGCTTTATCGCTTTCCTGAGGGCCCGACCGCAAGGCACGACCGCAACTGAGTCTGAAGGTACATCTCTGCCCTGAATTGGGTGGGGCAGTAAGCGACAACATTGACAGCCAATTAAGCATAACAAAATATAATAAGCAAATGGAAGCTTCAGTTCTTGCTTCTTAGCTCTTCGTTTCATCTTCTTCTCTTCTTTCTTATCCACCTTCAGCCGGCTTGGGGCATCGTCTTGCTTCTGACGCTGACGTCCGAGGACAACATTCCAACCAAATTCGTGTCATCCAACCCAGGGTGGCATCTCACCAAAGCGTATCCTCATATCCAAATCCTACAGTAGGTGTACTGATACACTGAAATCGCACGCCCAAAGTCCCTCAATGCGAGGCGGCTTGGACTTCAGGACTCAGACGACTCTGCGAGAGGCTGCCGTGTCGTCTCGGTCGAAGGTTTTGGGGCGAAGCATCTGGGTCTCACTGGGGGCCCCGAGGCCAAGACAGTACGTACTTTGAAAAGCTTTCGACATTGGGACTTCGGATGATCCCGAAAGTCCGTGACTTCCAATCCACGGAGGTTTCGCCCCAGAAGCCTTCTTTTAGAGTGTCCCAGGCAAAGGCCTTGAAAGCAAAAACCGCGATTGGTGCGACTGGTAAGGAACGAGGGAATGGATCCTAGGGAAAATCACAATGGGGATGTCATGATATCTCATTCCCTGCGAGTCGCACCAGCCTACAAATCCTCTTGACCCACACGCGACCTTCGCCTCCTTATCCTTCACAGGATTCCCTTCTGGCAGCGGCATGGGCGGCGGCGGTAAGGGTGCCAATGGCGGCGGGGGCGGAGGCGGCGGCTCATCATCGAAGACCAAATCGGGGATCATGGCCATGTCCCGCGCCTCAACCTGAGCGAGCAACAAAGAATATAGACACTATATATAATTAGTGGGTCCATCAACAAAAATACATGACATTGAAAGAAATTGATGGAAACTGTATATGTTTATATTATCTTTAAAAATGAACAAAAATGTGTATAATATACAAAATAATACTGACTGCATGATTCCACAATATTCCACATATATGTCTGGAGTTCTCTACTTGTGGCTCTGGATAACATTTAAACTTAAACAACATGTAGTTGATCGATGTAGTTAATTAAATCTCAACACATGATTAGTTCCTCCAACTTTCCCCTCTAATACTCTAATCCAATGAAGCCTCTCCAACCGCTGGGCGAGACCAAACCATCACTCCTCCAGCTACCCCCAAACCGAATGCCCACCCTCAAACCATCACCCTCTTCTGAACGGAACAAGTTCGCCCTGCGTGTTGGCCCCGCGCACCTGCTTGCGGAACTTCACTTTGAGGCGATCCAAGTCCAGCTCCTCCGATTCCTCGTCTTCGTCGTTCCTCTGGCCGTGGAGCCCATGGGGGTCTCATTGGATCGATTGAGATGGAAGCAGTGGGGAAGATCCAATTGTCAATGATCGGACGTTTTAGGGTTCACAGAACATCACGACATCTGAATCTGTGATCAAAGTCGGGCATAGTTCGTGGGCATATGCACTTTGGGGCAAGCACCCAGAAGGTTTAGCATGTTCAGCCCAACGCCACAGCTAATGGAGACCTACGAAAGGAACACTGAAAGAGGTGCCTAACTCTAGTTCCTAGGCTTTACTTCTTTGAACTCTGTTCGTTGCACAGATTGCTCGTGTCTGTAGAGCACATTCGACAAGAATATGTGTTCGCATCGTAGGACTAAGAACATCTAAAAACTATCCACAAAAACATGCAAAAACCCATCAAAACATAAACCATCAAAATCATGAACAAATGCCAACTGCCAACTCTTGTGGGCTTAGGCGCCCTGCGACGCGCAACGCGCAACGGTGAGTTGCAGAATGCATGTTCGCAACGCAGTCGGTTATATATGGTTTTATCATCCTATACAGCATATATCGGTGCGTTTACTCCTCTGGCAACAAAACCAGCAAGGTGCCAGCCGTTTAAGATGTTTCTGTTTAAACAGGAAGATGTTGCCAGATGCATTTTTCTTAGGCCATGTTGAAACATGACAGCTTGAGACACGAATCCTTTTCACCTCACAAATCTTCGACCTTGGGTGCTTCAGTGCAGTTTGCTTGACGGGCTACTGCTGGAGAAAGGACATTCATCAGGACCCAGCGCTTGCTTTTGCTCTGGCAAAGGAGCTGGGCCCTGACGGCCAACAACTTCTGGCACCACCTACTCAAAATTGCGAGTCTTTCGCGGTCTCATTGAAATTGTCTGACAGCAGCCACAGTACAGCAGCCGGATCGCTGTTGTCTGCAGACTGAGTCTTGCCCAAGTCAATTTGGTAGCCTGTAAGGTGAGCCTGTAAGGTGTCCACCCATTGTCTTCAGGCAAGCCAGTGCATGAATTGACACCATTGCAGGGCAGCCACTCACCGGCAGCTGCTCTCCAGCAACTGCTGCTTGGACGGCTGATGCACGTATATAAGTGCTTGTAAGGTGCCCTGTTTTGGCACACTTTTGGAGAAATTGCGCATGGAGGTGCAATCTGTTCCGGGCCTTGCAACCGATGGATCCAAATGTAGTTCTTGGCTTTGAGCTGTTCTGCAAAGCACAAGAATGCTCCATGGGCCAAACATCCTCCCATTGTCCTTGTCCAGCCACAGCGAAGACATGCCCACATACCCTACCCACCGTCTTCGGGCCGAACATTTTCGAACATGTTCCTGCAAGATCTTAGCACTAGCTTGCACACCACGGGTTGAAGTCTTCACGAGCCAAGCCGGAGTTACCGCATGGCCTGCTTCTTCCAAGGCACTTGCCTGTGGACTAAGACGTTCTCCCACCCAAATGAAGGCGTCTGCAAACTGGAAGGATCGGAGACGAACCCTTGAAACCCTGAATGCCAACTATCCAATGCACTTAGACAGAAGAAATAATAGCATCTACAGGCAACTGGGTCCACAAGCAAAGCCATTCCGAGCCATTCCTGTTATTTCATGCAAAATGCGTTGGTATATATAAGTTGCCGCAATGGAGTTGCGCAACGTAAGATGCCACTTGCGCAACGTGAGTTGCAGAGCAGCTAAGCTTGTGGGAGTTAGGGGTCCCTTTCGGATTTCAAGGCAATTCGCCTATACAGTCTGCAGTATCTTTCACTGGCAAGGCTCGCCATCTCCTCGGGCTTGCTCCGATCGAAGTGAATTCCAGTCTTGCCCCGCGGCTTGGGAGCGCGGGGCACGGCCGGAACCTCTTCGAAGCCTCAGCAGCTCTGACCTCCACTGGCCCAGATCGAAAACTCCTTGTCAAGCAAAAGGGAACGACCGGGAAACAGTTCAATTACAACAACTTCGGAATAACACCAACATACACCCATACAACGATTCGTACACCGGCATACACCCACAGCACCCCAAAGTCCATGCTGGCCCCTCTTGTTCTGCCGCCTAAGCCACTGCTTTGATTCTCTGCCAGCGTGGCACGCCGCTCGCGTGCCTTTCGGATCACCTCCTCGGCCTGCGCGCTCTCCTTCTTGGCCTCTTCCTGCGGTCCCGGCGCCGGGAGCCGCACCGGCGATGCCCGGGGTGGGAGGCTTCGGTGTCCACAGAACCTCCCTCGGGTTTCGGCGATTGCTTGGGAACATAGTTCAGCCGGGGTCTTCTTTTCGTTTGATGAGGGATGACAGGATCAGGTGTAGTAGGTAGAGGCAGGTCCTCATTTCGGAATGCCAACTGGTTTTGGAAGCTGACAATCCTTTCTAGAGGTGAAACAACGACCATGGGCGAATGGTCTGTGGATTGTCCCAGGCAAGAACACTCGAAGAATTGCTTCAGATCGCTTCATGCCCGAAATGCATACAACTTTTATCAACTATGTAAATGGATGTAAATGGTACAAATGAGGACCCAGTCTCTTCTGAAAGTACAGATTCTAGTGGCTGTTGGAGTCCAAGCCAACCCTTCATCAACAGAATGGACCACGGCGACGAAACATCAAGTTGCACCATCCATAGCAATCCCATGGACATTTAATTATGGTGGGGTGCTGTGAAGTTCTTGGTTTTGACTCTGAAATCATCGGAAATCAATCCATCAGATTCAACATGCTTCAACTCACAGGCAAGCCGCAGGCTCACCGGCGCCTCTGCTTGCTGCAGCTTCTGCTGGCGTTCCTTTTGACGCTTCAACATCTCTTCCTTGGCCTTCTGCGCTTTCAGCGCTTCCTCGCGTGCCTTGGCCTCCTCGGTGGGACGAGAAGACACTCACCGAGAAGAGAGATGATGGGAGAGCGGTATCGATCGGAGGAGTTCGAACAGGGAACTCCGTTTATTGGCCTCTTCGACCCCAACTCCCCCAGTTGATGTTGCAAACAACTCCCAATCCGCTAGCTATCTGAATCCAGTAGACTAGACTGAAACTGAGACTGCCGTCACGGCTCTCCTCAGACTCCGCCTCCCCACCACCTACTCTGGAAGTTGTCAATGGCCACAGGAAGGGCAAGGTGAGATGAAAATGCTCCTCATATCAACCGCAAACCAAAAAAAACGAAACCGCAACGATTCGAAAGGCTTTTCCATGGTACCCAACATTCGTCACCCCGGTCCCTTCCGCTTTTTCTGTTCGGCCCGGTCCCTGAGATCCAATCCCTTCGACCCGTGCGACTCCGCCGTCGGCCTTCGCCTCCTTGGCCTCCTCCGCAGCCTTCTTCACCTGAGCACCTGGCAGTGGCGTGCCCAGCAACGTGGTCGGCTCGCTGGGCTCGGGAAGCCCCGTGTACCTCGGTGCTGGGCTCGGAGGGCTTTCTTTGCGAAGGTGTCCATGGTGGGAAACCCTTCATTCTGAGTGACTCTGGTGCACTAGTTCGCTGGACTTTGGCGCGAACAAACGCCTGTCGGACCTTGCTGCTTGGGATGGTCTATCGAACTCTGGTAGATGATCGACTCCAGCAGCAAGTTGAATCGAAACGATGAACAGGTTCTATACTATGTTGGTGTGTAAGGTCCTATGTAAAAGGTGCATGGTTTCTTGTTCGACCATTAAAGGACACTGCATGTTCGATGTAACAAACTTGAAAAAGAACTATGGGATGACAGGGTTTTTGATAGATTCAATGCCCCCTTGCTAGATTAAGTCCTTTAGCAAGCCCAGTAGCTTTCCAGCCGAAAGGACGGGGTACCTTCAAAAACCAAAAACACACACACACACACACTTGACATCACTTGACCATATAGAAACTGCTCCTCTTCTGTTCTGCTAAGCCAATTCCTCTGTACCCAAGAACCTTAAACCGCCTAAACCCACCTCCGTTGTCAACCCACCGAGTCACATCGCAGCGGGCGGATGAGCTTGCGTACGCTTCGTGGCTGGGTGAGCATAGTAGAAAGCTCCGGGATGCGACTTGGAAGCCACCTACGAGAGCTCCAGCGGTGGCAGGTGGCGGGGGAGGTCTTACTTTTTTGCGTAAGTAAGTGCTGTGTACGAGCATTTTTTCCACGAAGTAGTGAGAGAGAGAGAGAGAAACAAAAAAACACATAGAGAGCTGGCAGTGGATTGGTAGAACTACCTAAGCTTATAGGAGCTGTCAATGACTGCCTGGGGTTTCGCACGTATTTAGTGAGACTTGACTTGTTCACAACTTGCCCAGTCACCCTGCAAGTCCATGAACCCACAGAGTGAAGATACACACTTCAACTGGTTCCTGTCTTTCCATTTCCACCATCTCTAAACATCTAAACAATGTAAATGTGTAGTCCTGCAATCGGTCATTTCGGAGCAATCGGTCTAGCAGCAAAGATATCGGTCATGTCGTCCAAACCCGACACCGAAACGCAGGGGGTCCAGGACCCGAACCAAACCCTTTCCATTTAGAGGTGTTGGATTCAGCTGGGTCCAAACCAACAGGCATTGAGCAACCTCTCTGATCCACCCAAATGAGTGAACGAACGAACTGAGCCAAACAGCCGGAAAGAACAACTCATCCTGGGAGTTGGAGAGGAAAACACCATATCAGTTTTTCATAACGCCTCCAACCTCCTGCAAACAACCTCTATAATCGTCGACCAATAAACAGAATGTGTTCCTACCTCCACCGAATCCAACTTACAACAAAACCACCCGCGCCTTGATCCAACCAGGCGGCAGCGCCGCCGCCCGCGTGGACGAAGACTTGCTTGTCTTGGCCTTCGAAACGTGCCTCGTCGGAGTGGAGATGCTTGGAGGGTCCAACAGGAGTTTCCAATGTTTAAGATGCTTCTGAGATATTTTGAGATGTTTCCAATGTTTAAGACTCAGACGGGTACCATTCTTCCAACAGGAGATGATTGGAGGTGGTATTTCATCCCTAACGTCTTGGGGAAGAATACAGAAGAATGGCACCCCTACCCTGGAAAAATAGTTTCACCTTTGGAACCTCTGGGCGGCGGGAGTAACTTTTGAGGTTTTGGATTATATGGTTGAATGTCTCGTGCTTTTTGAGACTGACATTGAAAGAAAATAAGTATGCGATGGGCATTCCGTCTGTCTTCTTCTTGTCCTTCCGCCTCCTCCGTGGCGGCCCGCCCACACATTGGCTTCACAAAAAGAAGTTGCGAAGCCAATGTGTGGCAAATGACTCATGACCAAGTTCCCACACATTGGCTTCACGGCTGTTTCCTTTTGGGATCGGACAAGAAGTTGACAGTTGGTGCCAACACTGGGACACTCAAGTGTCCTATTTAAAACAGGCTGAACCAATTGAACCTCATTGAACATATTGTGAGGGAAACCAAAACGTACGGGTACCCACAGGAGAACTCACTAATTATCCGTGAATTTTTTAGGATACTGAAACGCCACAGGTCATAGTTTTCTTTTCCAATGTATCTGTGATTGATTGCACTGAGGTGGATTCTTCTTTCTTTGCCAATCTACAGGATCTTCCCTAATATGGTTTCGGGTCAAAACCCCCTGAACATGAAAAATTCCTCTAGAATCTCTAGAAGGGATGTCAACCTTCCGTGGTTTGTGGGATACTGCACCTGTGGACACAGTCAAATCCTCTCTGCCACCTTACCGCACCTTGGTCTATGACCTGGTACAACAAAAGGATTGAACTGGCAAAATTCTCACTGGGGAAGAAATCATAAAGAAAACAACTGGTGAGGTTCTGGCCCACACCCAAAAATACTCCCGTCTTGGTCCCACTATATCTCACCAGGTGGGGTTTCCTGAGTGTTTCCCCAACAAGAACGAAAGCTCAATCGGGTCAGAGACGGGGATGAAGTCACATCTGGCGGTGGGTCTTTCGGGGTCAACCTTCCAAGGTCGACCGGTTCTTATCGGTTTTGGCCCCCCACATTCATGTGAAAAAGAATGTCGGAGTTCTCTAGAAGGATCTTTTCAGATCTTGGAACTGGCAAAAATAGAGTGAAGGCTGAATCAGGGAGGATGGCCAAACCCGAAGAAAAGGAGTTGTTGGTTGTGCCTACATGTCCATCCACTTGTATGGGTTATGTACCAGGACCTTCAAAGTGACCTCTTTGGAGTCTCTAAGTAACCTCTGTGACCTCATTCTGGGATCTCAAAAAGGTCACTTTGAAGGTCCTGGTAAGTGAAGATTTCTCGTATTGTGAGTCGAATGAGCCGGCCCAACACAGTTTGTGCCGAAGAACGTATCAGCACTCTTTGTCTTTTCATCTTTGGACTCAGCCTGACACAGGAAGAGCAACGATGTGCTCCGATGTACCAGCACCAATAACGAGACCGGTCGCAAATACCCCAACTCTGGTCTGTCACCAGCTTTGAGGCCTGTGAAGGGCTATGGATGACAACCTGTGTGACCCAGAGCTGTTTGTTTTCCTTAAACCGCTTGGCAAAAAAGGGAGCAGTCGCTACATTTTGTTCACCCACCATGGTTGAATATCAACGGACTGGCAACGGCCCTCCAATTTGACTCGGGTTCTGAATGCACACGGAGGGGGCGCTAAAACGCCTGGCTTCCATTGGTTCCTTCAGATTCCACATCTCTTCTTCATCCTTTTTTGTTCAACAGGCACCAAAGGTGCCGCTTCCACCATGACCCCGGGACGTATTGGACATGTCTGCAAGATGATCACCAGGGCCATGAGACACCTCACAAATCCTGTACCGCAAGCCATGGGCCAATCAAACCTATGGCAGAGTCTGCCAACTAGCTGGAACTAGTGGAACTACCAGTACCAAATAAACAACGGCGGACCTTTCCAGACAATAGTGTTGAAACTGCCGTGAATGATATTCCTAGGGGTGGTCTGTCAGTTGCTTTACCAGAGTGACAGTGAAATAACTTTGTTCAGTGGACCTTCCTGGTACTTCGCAGGTCCCGCACCCGTGTTTGCCAACGCCAGCCTCTTTGGGCTGGGACTTTCCTCCGGCCTCGAGACTAGGTGACCCCCAGCCCTTGGACATCCACGCTGGATAACCCCAGACCCAGACCATCCATCAGAGTCAGCAAGAGTGACTCAACAACACCATTGATGACCCTCAGCGAAGTACCTCTTCCAGTCCCATGGCTGGTCTGGAGAAGAACAATGGACCCACCCACACCGTAGCTCGGGATGGGTTGTGCCCAGGGACGTATACACACCCTACATTCTTCTCCTTTGCGGGGCGATATGGGGTGGGGGGGTAGAGGACGCTACTAGGAGCAAAGGGCATCGCTACTAGGAGCAAGGACGCTACTAGGGTCTCCTGGCCTTACTACTAGGAACAAGGACGCTACTAGGGGCTCCTGGCCT